ATATACTACGAAGCGATTGGTGACACAATAAACCAAAAGTAATAAAATGAGTTTTTTATTAGAAACAATATATAAAACATTAACCGGGTCGGAAAATACGTCCAACTGTGGTTTGAATTGAATGATATCACGAAATACATCTCTTAAACTTATACAAATGATTATCTTGTAGGCTATTTTATATTATTCCAAAAAGCATTAAACATAAATCTGAACTACCGAAGATCCGTTTTATGGACTTTATGAGTTTCAAAATTGTAGTACTGGCTAAGCAGGTGGAAATGACTCATCGTAAACGCTTATTCGGCTAATAACTATAACCACTAACACATAATACAGATATAATTATACGACATTGTAAAAACAAAAAATATGTAAGTTATTAGCCAAATTCTCATTACCAACATTTAGTCTATATGGCTAAGCATATGATGCAACATTACCATGTATATATATAAAATTAAAAATACATTATGTGAACCATGTGATCGCATCACTGGCATACGGTTAGATTATTAGGAATGGCCAGTAAAGGACAAACCTAAAGTAAGATTATCATTAACCCTCGAGTTAAATATGGTTTATTGCAGAATTTGCTAAAGATATATGCATAGGTTGACATAACAGACGTAGTTCAAGTAAACAATATTTCATCATCACGAGGGTACTTATCTGTCTTAATTAACTTGTATAAAGCTGCAGTTTTAAACGGTCTGGATAGTATCTGGTAGCAATCTTAAAGATACTCAATGAAACTATCTCTTGAGAAAGTGTGACACCTACTAGTAACTTAAACTTGAAGATTGAGAAAAATCAGTGAACTTCAACGGCTTTGACTGTATTACTAATTATTACTTGGACATATAGACACTGCTACAAAGAAAGACTAAAATGTATATGTGGCTACTGAGGATCCACCTAGGGGAGTCGGAAAACCCTAATTCCAAACCAGTGGTGCACATGGGCTCCAGGATCCTAAGAAAACAAATGGCGTATGAAGCAATTATTGAAACTACATCTCCCGACGTTTTTCCACTGCCTTGTGGATCAGACCTTTAGGTCGAAGGCTCTGGGTGTGACCCACTAAGAAAATCACCTGCTTTGGTTCGGGCACCCGGGCAGTATTATAGCCCACAAACAAATCAAGTGACTTGTGTGGCGCGTATGTATTTGGTGCATACCTGTACCAATATTTATGTGTTCAAATAAATAAATGCGCCGCACAATAAAATGAAGTTGTGAAGAGATAGAGGAAGGCGAGTATAAAAACTGTAGTGGATATAAATTAGTGTATGAGAGTGCGAACAATGATAATATTGAGAGAAGCAGTTCAGTTAAGAAAAAAAAAAGCACAACCAAAAAGGATTGTTCTAAAGAAGTCCCTTTCAACCATATAAAAAGTCAGGTTACAACAGGATTGTCACTGGTTTTTATTCCGAACCATGTCTGATAACATTTCAAGCCATTATGTTGCACACTTTAAGGACTCATTTTGACTCGATTAAATATTCCACCTAGTTCTTTTATACTATTTAAACTTGTGTTAATTTATTTCGGTTATTTACTCTCAAGAAGTTACTTAAAGTAAGTCATGAAATATCAGAAATCCAAATTCCTACACATCGGGATATCACAAATACATCATTATTTTATTATTAACTTTCTACCTTGGTATTGATACCTAGTCATACAATGTTTTTTGTGACCTGAGTGGATGACGATTACAAGGAACAATGATATATCACCAATATTCGCGATTTATCTCTGAATTTAATTTATTTCACTCACCTACACACAACGATAGAAAATAAACCATGGGGCGTTAAGAACTACAGACTGTAAGTTGTATGCAATCATACTACAATTACAGAAATGGACTACCATGCGCCTTTTATGTTATCTCTATAAATTCCTGGTGATATGTACCACATTTAAACTCCATTATTATATAAATGACGACTGTCGGTAATAATAACCAGGAAAGACAGTAATCCATGTGAAGAATCCCGAGTCTTATCATTAAATGCTAAATGTCATACTTAGTTGAACATACCGACTACTCACATTACATAACAAGAAGTACGATAGGTTTCTGGTTCTAAGTATTGAACCTAAAGTCAGATTTTCACATTGCAAATTTTATTTATTTACTTATGTCTAAGTGTGAGATGGTGGAATATTTCATAATACTTCAGAGAGGAACGATCCGGATGTCGGACTGATTAGGTGAAGGGTAAAAATATACCGAAGGATAAATCAAAAATGTAATACAGCTGAAAGTTTCATATTGAACAGACATATAAACAGGTCAATTGATATCGACATACAGCCGCGCTTAAAAGTGGATCAGTCTAAGCTGCTATATCAAATCAAAGCGACGGGATTAAATTGACATGATGAATAATAAATGAGTGGAAATAATATTACCGATCCTCATTAGGACTAAATACTGAGAATATAGTCTGAAAAGGTATTTGTGACGGAATACATAACTAACTTCATCAATAATGTTCAAGCAAAGAGTCATAACAAGATTCATGCACTTCATTGGTAAACTTTTCTGAGACAAAAGTTAACAAAACCTCGCGATTGACGGACTGGTGTAGCTTTGAGATGATGAAATACAACTATATTTGAGTGTCGTAAATAGTTCCAAAACGTGACGTACGGTGAAATAAGTAAACGAACAACAGGAAAATCTTTACAATATAAAATTGTGATGACATATATCATTAATAAGAACCGATTTCAATTAAAAGGTTATTGATAAGTCTTGCAATTTGAACGCTATGCTCGGTTCCTAAGCTATTCTTGAAACCCCCAAGCTAGAACTAATCAGCAACCCTAACACGAGAGAGAAGGCACAAAGTATGCGGAAAGTACTTTACTCCAAGGTTCATTCTAATACAGAAAACAGAGGGTTTTTATAATATTCTAAATGTCCTTGGGTTGCTCGAAGATTCTGGAATGCTACTAAACATAGTAGCGGTATAACAACCAGCCAATCGGAACCTCTACATGTGACGTTTCACATCCTTGATGTTTCCTGGCTAAACTCCAAGTGAACGCTGATTAGATGAAGTGCTTCTTAATGTTTCCTGATCCTTGCATGTCTTTTGCGAGAATTTTTCTGAATCATCCCAACAGTTATATACGATTCCATGAAGTTATATTCATTTTAACCTTTTTTTCTAATCCCAAATTCAGTAGAACGTGAAAAACCACAAATATACGAAAAAAGTTAACTAGGTACATGACTAAGATTTACGAAAAAGATAAGAAGTAGCATGTTTAGACTATTGGTAGCATTAACGCTAAAACTTGTCCGACTATCTTCTACTAGATTAACGGAAATATTGGTAATAAATAAATGAGGTAAATTCACAATAATTTAGTATAGTTTAGAAGAGACTTTCATAGCTGACTAACATCATTTGAGGATGTATCAGACATCTATCTCATTCAGATCCCTCAACTTTATCTATTGATGAACTCACAATAAATTTAGGTTTCGTGGCAAAAATACCATCATGAACAAAATCTAACTGTAATTAATATGCAACGATAATCATCACTGAACTACTACCCTACTTTTCACTTAGGTGGGCTTATAAAAACGCATTTCTAAGTGTAAATTATTTCCGTTTGTTTCAATGATGCTGGATATTTGGCTTGTTGATTCTATCTTGCATTAGCCCTTCAGACGAAATTGTCATAATAAACATTAAAATGTGAAACACGAGTTTTATTATAGGTGATTAACAAATCATTCTATAAAAATGGGATATGATTGGTCGTTATCAGTAATTGTGTTACCCCAGTCTGATTTATTTTTGTTGTTCTTCAAATGCTAGTTGGTTATCATCTTAACACTGGTTGAATGAATGAGTATATGTCAATACATAAGTTGGTTACTAATTCCTTGATTGTTAAAATTTTAAAAATCTTCTGGCCTTCTTTATTTGATTTATGTAACAATTAAAAGTCCTTTTAGTAAAATTTGTGTCCGAAGTTATCCATAACCAGTGACTTAAGCCAAAATATTTCGTGATATTTGATACTATTACAGTGTCTGGATGAATGAAGGTATTTATTTTGTCTGGTGCACTCTTTTTTCTACTGAAACTTGTACCAAGGATGATATTCAACCAGATTCTTTAGGAAATTTTGTGGGTGATGTCAGGCTTTATGTTGATTATCACGGATTGGTTGGCTAAAAAGACACATCAAGCTCCAATATTGAAATATGAAGATTAGAGAAATCAACAACACGAATTCTCATCAGTTTAAATGACGTTTAATTAGATCATCATCGTACACTCAGTTATCTAGTTTTCAAATGTAGAGTAAAGACATTACATATTTGGAGCTCATATTGACATTTATGCAGTTTGACGTTGATGATAGTGAATAACTTCTGTATGAAAATTGATGTAAATTTATGATCAACTGTAATTGTCTGTTATCTTTATTCAGAAATCTTTGTAGTGTTATTATTATTACTATTGGTTAAACATCATTATTAATCTCATTCATTTCGCATTCATCCCTCCTTATTACATCTTACTAATTTTTTACACAATATAGTCTTTTACTAAACATTTGACCGAATTGCAACTGCCCTATTATTTCTCTTACCCTATCTGACCCATATTTATTCTGATCATGGATCTTAAATTTCCACTAAACACATAGCCAGATTCGAGTAAGTATTCTATCTTGTTTGACAATCCTAAATTCACATGCTTTAAACGATGCACTTTGCCCTTGACATGGCCATTTTTCGGATTATTACTTTGGATATATAATTGTAGGACCTGAATATAACTTATCAAAATGAACATTCTTAGTCCAAATATTAGTCTTTTAATTTCCTAAATAGGAGGTTTAATAAATGAGGCATGCTCGAAAGTGAAATTTACAAATTCAAAAGCCTCTCATGAAAACGGGCAAACTATATGGTAAGAGATTAAATACGAGAAATGAATAGATTAACGTACCAGCTCGAGTGTCAATTTCTGCTAAACGAGTTTCCCTTTCCAATACGAGATTCACATTGTCTTTCATTATACCAACAACCTGAAATAAAGTAATTTACAAACAAATATACAGAAATTTCACCTCCTGAACTTTAGCCTGTTGCTGACGAATTCGATCATCGGCTTGATAATTATATTGATTATTCATGTTTAAAAGGGTTTAGAAGTGTTGAACTTCAATTGGGATGGGAAATCTCACAAACACAAGCCTCCTAAAACAAATAGAGAACTTTAATGAAGTTATTAACTGCATTCAATTAAAATAGTCTTTATTAATAGCACCATAAGATAATCTAAGGTAATATTGAATTCCAGAATAAATCTGTGCTTAAGTAGGAGACAAATGTTCTTATACAAGCAAAGAAGATTTGAACAGACCGTGGTATGAGTGAGTTTGTTGTTAAACTAGAAATTCCGAAAAAAATGTATTGACTTTTGTAACCACTACGGGTAAAACTATGTTCAGTACCATTCATCCATCCATCAAAAACCTAAGACCTGGACAAAATATGCATCGCCCTTAGTATTCACACTTCATGTAACTATAATGAAAATAAATTAGCAGGATTAAATCGAATGGAGTGAAGTAATAGGATCGATTGTAGTGGAAACTAAAAACTGAGAATAAATCAGGTAATACCTGGACAAGTAGTTTGATATAAAACTAGAGCTTTGAAATTCAATGCATTAGTTGTGGATTTTTGTCTGTTGGTACTATCTACAGTTACTACCCATTTTTTCGACAGTGTCCATCAATAGGAAACCTGACGTAACTATTTAAAGCATACATCACAACAAAGCCTCTCGCTGCCAATGTGTACATTCTAGAACAATAAGAGAAATGCCAATTTCGCAACTGGTCTTCTTACGAAACTGAATTTAATATATTTTCTGGTATTAGTGAAGTTTATGTGAAGACATGTAGAAAATAAGTTTCGCGAACAACGTTAACTCTGTAAATTTTCAACAATTTAACCAGCAATCATTAATCACTACAAATAAACGTATTGTGATCTATATTGAATGCCATTTCGCAGCGACACTTCAATTTTATTCATTTATAATCTGCTTATGATACAAAACACTTTTATACATAAAATGAAGTTAACAAATATGGAGGAAAACTGAGACAAATGGTTGAGGGAAAACGAGTAGTGAAGCGGTAATGATGAAGGAATACTTTACAAGTACACCTTTAGTTGATAAAATATGGAAACCTTGGTTAAAATACAAAGCAAAAGATGCAGGAAAAAGTGGCGATCAATAGTCTGCATGCGTAAACCAAAATCTAGTGTTATTATCGGATCGTAGTTTATTAAGAAAACAGAAAATTGAATTACGAAAAATCTGAACCATATGGGAGATGATAAATTTTAAGTATCTGTACAACATCATTGATGAACAAGGAGGATCTGATGCAAACGTAAAGGAAAGGATTGGCCAAGTATCGACAGCATTCCTACAGTTAAAGAACAACATATAGTACTCAAAGGGATTGTCAACTAATTCCAAAGTGAGAATCTTTAATACGGACGTCAAGACAGTTCTACTGTATGGAGCTGAAACTTGGAGAACTACTACAACCATAATCAAAAATGTAGAAGTATTTATAGACAATTATCTACTCCTCAAGACATTGAATGTCCGTTGGTTGGATACTGTCAGCAACAACTTACTGTGACAAACCAGCTTCCAACTGAAGAGTAAATTAGGAAAAGACTCTGGAGGTGGATAGGATGTAGACTGCGGGAATCACCAGACCGCATCACAAAGCAAGCGCTAACTTAGAAGCCTGAAGAAAAACAGAAAAGAGGAAGGCCAAAGAACACAATGCACCGAGAATCGGAAGCAGACATTGAAGGAATGAGCAATAAATGGAAACAACTAGAAAGAATTCTCCACGACAGAGTTGGATTGAGAATTGAACTGCTGAAATCGCAAAACCAAAAATTAAACATGGATGAAGTTGTACTCATTCTTTAAGTCTTATAAACATGTATCAAGTTGACAATATTTTCTACTGACCTAGGGGTTTTCCAGAAAAGAGGCTGATGCTTTGGAGTAATCGTCAAAACGGGTGGGGAAATTTGAGACTGTCATTATTTTCATAGAAATTTTGTGGAAATGTAATCAACTTTCTTGAAAAATCCACAAAATTCTTGAACAAATTACGGAAATTCGCGAAATTTCCCTTAACGAAATGATTACAGAAGCCTTGCTGTGAAAAATCATCGATTCAAGTAAAACGGTGTTCAGTAATACTTATTATGGAACTACTATACAATGTAAATCTCTTGGAGACTGTAGTATATATTATTTGGAAATACTTCCTAAAATGCTAATTACATAAAAAAGAAACATTTTCTCAGTGAGAAATCGCAGAGAAAAAGGAGTAAATCTGGAAAAAACGTGAGGTAAACAACGAAAGGAGATAGAAATCCAATACAAAATTTCCTATCAGCCAGTTTAAACGTTTTATAAAAGGGACATATTCTTTTATATTCTGGCCAACGAGAAAAGGAATTTGAATTCAACATATTACCTTGAAGCCATATATAAAAAGAACATTTCCCAGGCAATCGAAAATAAAGAAATAAGGGGAAAAGTGGTGTGAAAATAATTACAAACAATTGTCTGCTTTCGCGAAATGCCGATTATTTGATTTCTTAATATTGGGAGATAGTAGACAATCCTGAGTTCGTTTTGTGAAAAGGTAGGCAATCTGGGCAAGGTAGTGATAAACTTTGCATACTCATTCTCAATGGAGAGACTTAGGAGAAAATTCACACATGCCCAAGACTGAGAAAAACAGCTTAAACTTAGAGAATTGATGGCTATATTCATACCGACTTACTTATGGGAGTTGCTCAACGTTCTAGTTTATTTCCGCCTTTATACGCTTATGTCGGGATAGAACAAATTCGTGACATTATAACTTAAATCATCACACAGGCTACAAGAACAATACTGCGAACGTCCTCGTGAAAACTAAGCAAATCGGCCGGAATTCAAAGACATTTAAAACCCAAGGCGACTAAAAAAGTAAATGCTTCACTACTTTCTCACAGCAAGCAAAAAACGCAACTGTTCAGACCATTTTCTTTCTATTTCTTTATATTATCTCGAGCGATGTCCATTTTTCCCGTGTTCGCTTTTATTCCGTTTTTCTGGTTCGTTTGGATCTTGTGAATCTGTCGTCTTACAAAATTTTAATGTAAAAATTCCATAAACGATGTTTTATTTGGGATTATAAGTCGAGATTAACAAAGACGCTGACAAAAAGGATTAGTGCCAAGAAACCAGAAGTGACCTTGTATGACGAGAAAATTTTTAAAGCTGGCGGTGAACTATTTGAAGGACAAATCAACGGTGGTTTCAAATGATTTTTGAAGGAATATAAGAAGCTTTAGCTCAATAAACTTACGCATCTAGTAGCAGTGGATCACTGATACATGCAGGAAGGATTCTATGTATATTATCGTTAAAAGAGGAAAAAGCAATTGGTAGAACAGTTTCTCGTGTCTTTAATAATATGTCAAATTTTCTTTTATGGGGCTCCTAGGGAGTCGATTAGACAATCCCACACGGCAGAGAACTGCCGCATTTGACTATTCTTGAGGAGTAGAAGTTCTGTCTACAATCCCCTCTGCTGAGTTTTGTCTCCAGTTTCTGGAAATTGTCTCTTAGTTCTGTGTTGAAGCTTAACTTAAATAGGTATTTAAAGGGATGTCCAGAGGTGCTGTAACACTTTCGAAGATCATCTGTGAGACGCCTGCATTTTAATAGGCAACGATTTAGTGAATGGATGTGCTCTTTACAAGGCTTGAATTTGAGTCCCTTAACTGATTTTGTGGCTAGCCGTTGGATACGTTCCAGAATGTCTTAAACCTTTTTGAATGAGGAGGATATACTGTGATTCCGTACTCTAAATGTGGACGAATAGAACTAACGAAGTTTTACCGTCAAACTGTTTAAAAATGCGCTGCAATGGTACCAGTGCAAGGCTTGATCGAAAGGTTTTTTGGTCGTAGTTAGCGTAAGACTTCAAATCATAGTTCACCAACATTCCTACATCTCTTTCAGCCTGAAACACTTATACGGGGAGTTGCCTGAGCCGTAGCTGTTGTCTGAGAAATGTCTCAAATGAATTACTCCACAGTTTAAAGAGTTAAAGACAAGCCCATTGTAGCCTGTCCAACTTTGAAGTCGAGTCAGATCTTCCTGAAGGGGTGAATTTATCCGCAACGCAACCATGTAAATGTATTAACATTTTATAACACAAGACTGGCCAGATTGCCTAAAGAAATAGATTGACTTGGGTAGGAGCAGCAAAAACCCAGAAAAAATCGCTGATTCGAAATAAATTTCACACCAACATATAGAACATTACACTGACTGCGGCATTTTGGCACACAGAAACGTTGAATTACATAGCTACACAAAAGAAATAGCTGCAAGAAGCACAGAACGAAGAAAGCCGACCGCCATTGCTTACAAACATGGCGGATATAATGATTCTTGCCTCATTCTGATTGGTTGCTAAGCTGAAAGGCACATTTACGAAATTGAGTTGCGTTTACTTGCAGCCTCCTGAAGTCGAAGTATATACTCTTGCTTGTCTATCTCTCTTTCCGAACTTTCACATCATCAGGAAAAATCAATAATACCGACGATATCTGATGTGAAAGATTGTTTATATAAACCAAGAAAAGAAGAGTTCCTAGTGTTAAGATAGGTCTGTCAAACTTATTTTGTAAATAGTTTTTAATATTATTTGTATTTATTTTGTCAATCTTCCACTGTGTGTACATTTATCATTAAATCATTGTACCTGTTGTTTTAGTAAATGACCTTAAACACTATTTTTTCTGTTATTTTACACGCATAGAATGACACATTGTTAACTGCTAACAAATACATCGTTGCACACATACTTCTTGTTCTACATTCGCTTGTGGCTGGCCAACCGAAGTCTAAATCAAATACTATTTATCTTTACAGACTGTAATTCGAATATATCATATCCCATATCGGATCATATCTCTGGGGAATTCATCAAACTTACTGAAAGTATCAACCGTCCATAATTGTGAATATTTGGTATCAGATCAAAGTAGAACACGCACTAGTCTGGCGAACCAAGTAACGTTCCTTTATTTCTATTGTGTTTGTGACATTTAACTTATATATATATATATATATATAAACATTATTATTTGTTAATAATAACTCTGTTATTATCTTTTTGAATTAATATATTGTCTGGTTCACCACACTAGTACTGAACCCCAGGGGTTCTCACTAGAACACTTCATAGCCTGAGAGAAAGTGAAGTTAACACCGACCTCGAAATGTCGACCTTTTAGACACCAAGTGAGCTCATCAATTAAAGGTGTGCAGTAAGAGATCCCAATGAGTATGTAGTTTCATTTGATCTCGATCAGACGGCCTTTGAAGCTGAGAATATATATTTACTGAAAAGATTTGTATTCAACAGTTGACACGAAGAGAAGGTTGACGATGGAGAACGAGGGAAAACTTAGCTCAATCGGACAGCATGGCTCAGCCTTGCAGATGTGATCAATTAAGAATTCTTCGTTTGTAAATACCTAATCTAAGCGTGACGGCGTCTGAATGTTTCTCCCGTGAGATGCCGACTTCATGTTTTTGAATAGTTCCAGATCTTCAATGACGTTGAAGAAACGTGCTTAGGTAGTTTTCTCCACTAATGTACGTATGTAGCGCGAAGTTGACTTTATGATATTTGAAGTCCCCTAGAATTAGGATATGAGAGAATCCGAGACGAGTGGAGCAGAATAATGCTTCTAACATACAATTGCCGTACTGGATGTCAGCAATGTGCATCCTGTAGATGACTCCAACTAGAAACCTCGAGGCGTTAAGCAGTCTTACTGAGCACCATATGGATTCATCAAGATTGATAAAGTCTAGGTTGTGCATTCGATGTAAATCCAGGCAACATTGCAAGTATAAGGCTTCTCCGCCCTGTCGTCTCTGTCGTTACGAGACAAAAACATCCCAGGTATTGCCAGCTCCAGGTCCGTAAATTGATATCGAGTTTCAGATATTCCTATCAGGTGAGCATTATAAGTATTACTTAGTTCGCACAGCTCATCCATTTTATTCGGTAAGCTTGCATCGTTTATGCGTAAGCATTTTATGCCTTTAATTTGGGCTACATCGTTCTGTTTATCTGTCTGATCCTTGAGTGAATGAACATACAGAATTTTCAGAGTTGGCAGCACCTGTTCTTTTTACGTTTTTAAGATCTTGACATCTCACAAGTGGAATAGTCAGCTATAATTTGCCTTTGTACCTGATCATGGTACCATGTGGCTCATTCGGATGCATATGTATACCAGTTGGCAAGCGTTTTCCGTTGTTACGTATTGCTTCGAGAGTCACAGCCACCATATGGGGTGGTCTAGTATCCTCGTCGTTCTTGACTAGTCTCACCAATTGTTTAGTCAATATGTTTTTGAGCTTCAAGAACTGTTTGATGAATTTTCATTCTCGAATATCAGAGTTTCTTTGGTCTAGGTCCGTGTTTTCTGATACACCTTGCACTATGATATTTCTTCCGCGGAAAAATTTCTGGAGAGATTGTTCAGGCTTATTCTGGATGAAATTGAGGTCAGAATACGGTATATCAGACCGTACTGATACATTCCCATTTGATTTCAGCAAATGACCAGCCAGTAAGATATCCCGTAAATCAGTAGCGATAGTGAGCGTTACACGAAGTAGCCCAGGGTGATTTAATTGCTTGGAGAGGAATCAACCTTCACTTGTCACATGGTGTGGTTTGCTATTCGTTTCATAAACAAAGATAGTATGTCGATCTAAGAAGTGGAGCCTTACCTTAAACTCATTTAAATATACCACATAAAATACTACGCCGAATGAATAGACTTTGAAATACATAATGACCAGCATGTACAATAGACTTTGTTTGCAAATAGCTCTTGACCTACAAATCAGCTATCAATCACTGCTTTTTTGATACTTTCCTCTAGGCTGATGTATCCTCATGGATTTTAACAATCAACTAGGTGGTTTGCATAAATGAGTTTTTGACGACGTTAAACGAAGAAAGTTGTTAATGATCATCAGATTAGGAACTCATGAGGCTTGAGATTTTTGTTAAGTCCCGCAGTCTCTTTGACAGAGCAACATTCTGATTGCGTAATAAGTTATTTAAGGACGTTTCACAACAAACCATCGTTCATACAAAAGTTGATATCCCTCGTAGTTGTAGAAAAAAACGTAGAAACTTCTGTCGAGCTGACTAAAAGGGAATGAATCAGTTTATTATTAATAACTTGCCCTTCTTAATGTTTATGCTTCTGGAATCTAGGCTGCGCAAGCGTATAGACACATAATCCAGGGTATGGATGAGGTAAGATTTATCATATATATCATTTGTAAACCTATTGTTTGCACATAATCGTGAGGGTCAATTGGTTTCAAATAAATGTTACGATAGAATTAAAATATAGAACTTTGTCTGCAAGGCACCTTAAAATACACAACACTCACAGCAATTGACTATGGACACCACTACAAGTTGAGTGCGTACCAAACAAATCAGAAGGCGGGAATAGATTGTAACCAAGTTTATTCGTTGACGATCTCGTGGTATCGTACGGATACCAAGATCGCGCGAAAATGGGTATAAGTGGAATCGACAGAAAGGAGTACGTGCGTAGAGAGTCACAAACCGCGGAAAAATGTAATAGAGGATAATGGAAAAGCAATATGGCTGTCGTTAGCACAGTTAAACAAACGAGCAGTAAAACAATCACTGGTACAATTGGTTATAATAATGATTGTTTCCATTAAACCAATTGCGTTCTGTTGACAAAAATAGGTCACTGCAAGTCTTTTCATCACAAAAGCTAACTTTTTACATGTTGTATGGAAAGCAAAATAAATGCGAATACAGTTAGGCTGTTAAAAAACCTTCTGCAGTTTTCATAAAAATGTCTAATTCAACTCAGGATCTAGTAAAAAACTGTACGCAAATTTGAGGATGAAAAATAGGTTCGTTATTTATCTAACTCGTTAGCTTGACGACTGAACAAATTTCGAGTAAAGGTGGAACTTTTAAAAATAAAAGTGACGGGATCCCATGAATTTTTCCAGTTTCGTTTTTATTGCGAGATAACTAGTTGATGGGACTGGCTGTAAGTTCCATTTCGAATGTTTTGTGCGTGAAAATCCCTCCATGTATACATTTGCAGTTGTTCTTATTTATTCCTTTAGTTGTACATTTTCTTAGTCTTTTTGATTCGATTTGAGTTGGTAATAT